TCACAAAGTACCTTCACATATGACATTTCATTGAACAGACCTCATTGTTAGGTAGTGAGGGCAATTTGTTAATCCCGTTTACTGATGAGGAATGAAGGAACTTGCCTAAATTCGTACAATCTGTGACTGGTAGAGCCTCCAACATATCACGTGACACCAAATCCCAGGCTCTTTCCCCACTATATTGTGCCTCCTCATTCCACATCAAAAAATCACAAAACTATCCTGTCTGCCCCATTTGCACATGTCCATTACCATCACTGTAAGAACAAGTGCCAGCTAATAATGAAACCACAAGTTATAAGTACAAAGGGGAAAGAAAACAAACTCAGCATTTTTTCTGAGAGGCTGGGAACTCTGTTCAGTACCCAATCTAAACTTTGCCTAATGTAGCTGTCACAACAGCCCTTCAGGTAGGTGCTGGTATTCCCATTGCTTAAATCAGGAAAGAGATGCTCAGCAACTTGACTAAAGTTACACATTAAATGACACAGCAGTGATTTTAACCATATGTATGCTATACCACACTGCCTTACATGATATCACAGTAATGCCCCTTTCAGCAATAAAGAAAAATACTTTTTAGGGCTTCCCTGGTGGCGCAGTGGTTGAGAGTCTGTCTGCTGATGCAGGGGACATGGGTTCGTGCCCCGGTCCGGGAAGATCCCACATGCCGCAGAGCGGCTGGACCAGTGAGCCATGGCCGCTGAGCCTGTGCTCCACAGCGGGAGAGGCCGCAACAGTGAGAGGCCCGCGTACCGCAAAAAAAAAAAAAATAAAAAAAAAAAAAAAAAAAAAAAAAAGAAAAATACTTTTTAGGTTAAAATACTCCTGTATTTCAGAATGTCAAAAAAACATCCTCCCACTTGTTGCTGTCACACACTCACTTCCCAGCTGAGCACCTTTCTCCTTCCTGGTTTTCTCTGCTTTACTCTTAATATCTGCTGGCCTCATTGTGCCCTGGAAAAGGGGCTACCTGTTAGAACAAAAAAGCAATGATGTATCCTTAACAAAGAGCATTTTATAAGGCTATAGGAATCATGCAAATATTATTTTGGGCCTAGGTCTAACTTAATTCTCTCAAATAGTTTGTGTCAGGGAATTCCTGGGCAGGCCAGTAGTTAGGACTTGGCACTTTCACTGCTATGGCCCCGGGTTCAATCCCTGATCGGAGAACTAAGATCCCATAGGCCGAGCTGTGCAGCTAAATAAATAAATAAAATTAAAAGAAAAAAGACAAAAACAAAAACAAAACAAAAAACCCCAAATAGTGTATCAGTTACAAGAAACGTGAGCCTGCCCAAACAATTAGAAAATGAAAACAGTGAGCAAACTATGAACAATCTATCATTTTAAAAAACTGTTTTTCTTCCAGTTTTGATATATAATTGACATACAGCACTGTATAAGTTTAAGGTGTACAGTGTAATGATTTGGCTTACATACATCATGAAATGATAAATCACAATAAGTTTACTGAATTCACTCTCTCATATAAATACAAAATTACAGAAATAGAAAAAAAATTTTCTTGTGATGAGAACTTGAAGGATTTACTCTCTTAACTTTCATATATAACATACAGCAGTGTTAATGATATTTATCATGTTGTACATTATAAATTTCATCCCTAGTACCTGTTTGTCTTATAACTGGAAGTTTGTATCTTCTGACTGCCTTCATCCAATTCCCCTGCCACCGGCCCAACTCCCCCGCCCCCTCCTCTGGTAACCACAAGTCTGATCTCCTTTTCTGTGGAACAAACTATCACTTTAATCACCACTTTCAAGAGCTTTAACCAATCCAGACAAGATACAAGCACTACAACAAAATGCATAAAAGTAATCTCATTACCATCCTAGAGTCTGGCCTCCCACCACATTTTTGGTGAAACATTAGGGATTGATAGCATTAGCCTCAAAATACCATGTGCTCCTCCCCTCAGGTGTTAACTGCTAAAGAAGGACAATGATAAATAAGATGTAAACACCTTAAATAGTTTTAAATTTGGGAAGATTATTGAAGGACTTCCCAGAACAAAATTTAATTAGCTTTAACAAGTGTATTTATGACTCCCAGAGGGGGCTTCCTTATCTGAAGCGAACAGGAGGAACTTTCTGTTGCATAAGTTGAACTCATACTAGATGGTGAATAAGCTAATTCTACCGTTCAGGGAACAAGTAAGAAAAGCTAACGCTAGCTGAGCTCAACTGGAGGGGCAGGTGAAAAAGCCACTGGAAGACTAGGAACACGGACAAGAGTAGATAAAAAGGAAACAGGAAGAACTAAGCTAGAGGAAGCGTGCAGGGAAGGAGGAGGAGTAAGGGGCGAAGAAAGCTGGAACCCAGAAAGTACTGATGGAGATGGGCAACTCAGGCCTAGAAAAGAGGAAATGAATGCCTAGAACCAGAAGGTTTACCAGAGCCTGCCTGTGGAAAGGACCCTGCTCCTCTATTGACTAAAATTAAGATAAAGGAAATGAACTGGTCACGTCTAGAGAAAATTGGGTTCATGGGGGAAGGTACTACACAAGGATTAACTGGTAGAAAATGGAGGCAACTTTTTAGCACCTTTAAAAAAGTGTTAATGGGGACTTCCCTGGTGGTCCAGTGGGTAAGACTCCACCATCCCAATGCAGGGGGCCGGGTTCATCCCTGGTCAGGGAACTAGAGGCGGCAACTGGGGCTCAGCGCAGCCCAAATAAATAAATATATACATTTTAAAAGTGTTAATGAACTTTAAATGGATGAAATGTATGGCACGTGAATTATATCTTAATAAATGTTATTTTTAAAAAGCGTCACAGACGTAGAGAACAGATTTGAGGACACGGGGAGGGCGAAGGGTAAGCTGGGACAAAGTGAAAGAGTGGCATGGACATATATACACCACCAAATGTAAAATAGCTAGTGGGAAGCAGCCGAATAGCACAGGGAGATCAGCATAGCACAAGGAGATCAGCTCAGTGCTTTGTGACCACCTAGAGGGGTGGGATAGGGAGGGTGGAAGGGAGATGCAAGAGGGAGGAGATATGGGAATATATGTATATGTATAGTTGATTCACTTTGTTATAAAGCAGAAACTAACACACCATTGTAAAGCAATTAAACTCCAATAAAGATGTTTAAAATAAATAAATAAAAAGCGTGTTAAATTGAGCAATGTATGACTACATTTATGATTTAATAAACACGATTAGCTCAGTCTGTAATAGCACCCCCCAAATTCCCTCACCCTGTAGGGTGCATTTACTTGTGTCTGGGAACATGTCTGTTGGAATACATCAGCCTGGGAAGGAGACAGGAGTATGATGAATACAGGAATAGCAGCAGGGGAAAAAACTGGTAGCTCTGTAAAGAGCTCTTCCCCCACCTTTGCCCCTGGAATTTTTGGCCTGTGGGGGAAGGAAGCTTTTGTTTGGGGTATGTCTCGAAGTGGAGTATCAGATTTCTTCAGGAGATGATCTAGGACCAAAATCTACCTAGTCAAAGAGAAAACGATCTGAAGTGGAAAAGTCAAGTCAGTTCTGGAGAAACCCCAGAAGGTTTATCATGAAATGATCACAAGTCTTATCTGTTACCCCCAAACTGGACTGCACGCCCCGTGTCACTTCCGAATGTTACTCGCGAAGAAGACGGATGCTTTGCCATGATCCCAGAAGTTTCTGGCGAGCTGCCCACTGACGTAAATTAGAAAAGCATTCGGGGACCGGCCTGGGTGAAGCGAAGCGCCACGTCCAGCGCTGGGCTCCCCCTTCCTCCCTCTCGATATAGGAAAAGGGACGGGGTAGGGAGGGCAGAAGGCGAGCGGGAACGCCAGATCAGCCGTCTTCGCCCTCCTCCCCTGAACCGGGTTTCGGGGAGCCGCCCCCAGCGTAACCCATCCCCACTCGCCAGCCGTGGGCCCGCGACCCCCGTGATGAGGGCGGCGGCGGCGAGCGCCCCCACGGGCGGCAGGCGCACCTCCCCCGGAGCAGCTATCGCCGCCACTCGCCCGGCCCCGGCCTCCCCGGGAGCAATAGGCTATCGATTCAGCTGCCTGTCGCTAGGAGCCCCGGGAGAGCGAGGCCTACACCGCTCGGCCAGAGCGCCGGCCTCGATTTCGCCACTTACCCAACACCGGAGGGGGAGCCGGGGGGCAACCAAGCCCAGCTGGGCGGGAGGAGGAGGCGCGGAGACCACCTGCAACGGCAGGCGCGGGGAAAGGGGGTGCGGGCTCGGGGCTCCAGCCAACAAGTCTCCCGGGGTCGTCCACCCCCCCACACACCCTCTGCCTCGCAAGTTGCGCATTCAAGTTCAGGCCGGTGCCCCTTGGCCTCCAGAGCCCTCGGCACTCCCAAAGCCATAAGAAAAACAAGATACGGAAGAGGCCACTCCAGGACCCGAGGAGATGGCGCTGGGCCCGTGAGGGCGACAAGGGGGCGGCCCAAGGGGACCCGCTCGTCACCTCCCCTCCGTTCACCCGGAGTCGCAGCCCCGACCCCTCCGGCGGCCGGCCCTGTCACAGCCCGGCCCCCGGCCCCAAGGCCCCTTCCCGGGACGACGGAGACAGGGGCTCGAGCTCCCCCCGCCCGCCGCCCCCGGCATCCGGCTGGCCTCGGCCTCCTCCCCCACCAGATCGCTCAAATGCCCCCAGCACCTTTTAAAGTACGCGGAGGAAGAGTTTCCCATCAAACTTTGTCAAGCGGTAACCTCGCCCCCCTCCCCGGCCCACACTTCCACCGCAGTCATCAGGAGAGATCACTTTACACTTGGGATAAAGCGAATTAAGGACCTGTCAACCATTTTAGGTCTTTTTTATAGAAGACATCCTCTCCTACCCCTCTCTCCCTCCCTCCCCCGCCAGGGTTTTAATTTGACACCCACCTTCCCACCGCCGAAGGGGGGGTTGAGGAGGGAGGGGGTGGGGACGGAGGGCAGGAGGAGGGTGGCGAGGGAAAACGGAAAGGGGAGGTTGGAAGGGGGCCGGGAGGCGCGGGGAGGGGAAGGGGGTTGATTTACCTGAGACCAGCCACTGGCCTCCATTGTTGGAGAATTCAATGGCATTGACACAGCCGAAGTGGCCCAGGAGGTCCTTCTTGTAGAGGTTTCTGCAGCCTCGCAGGCGTCTCCTCTGAAAGTCCTGAGTGAGCAGGGGGTCCCCATGCAAGCCCCGCTGGGACAAGAAGCCCACCACTGACCTCATGCTGTCCCCCAGGCCAGCTCTCCTCTTCATGCTGGAACCGCCGCCGCCGCCGCCGCTCGCGCCGCCGCCCCTCCCTCGGCCTCACGCGCGGCCGGCGCTCTCCCCCCACCCGACCCTCCCCCCGCGCTGCGATCCGGATGGTTCTTTAACCAGCCATAGCAGACGGAGCGAGGTGTGCAGACACTCGGCGGCGTTCGCGGCTTCCTGACGGTCCCCTCCCTCCCCTTCCCCCTCCCCTAGGCTCCTCCCTCTCCTTCTCCGCCTCCTCCAGCAGCTGATCCTCAGCTGCGGCCGCGCTTCCGCGAAGCGCGCGGCCCTTCCGCCGGCGGCGACGGGGGCCAGGGAACACGAGTGGCGGCGGCTCCTCCCCCGCCGCGGGCTGAGGGCCGGAAGAACTCGGGCGGCTGGCCTCTAGACCGCGGGCGGCGGCTCGGCTTTCCCGCCGCAGCTCCTCCCCGCGCGAGGGCCGGGGTTGCTCTGGGCGGAGGCCGGGCTGCACCCCCTGAGCGGTGCACTCTGTGAAGTTGGAGGCGCGCAACGATCAAAGTGGCCGCGGGGCTGCGGACTCGCCTTCCTCCCACAGAGGCCGGCGGTCCATCGCCGCGGCGAGTGTGCTCCCGGCTCTTTTTTTTCCGGTCCGGAAAATGCAGCCCGAGGTGGCAAAGAGGTGGAGGGAGGACTACGGGCAGAGGCTCCGGTTGTTCTACCTCAGTTCGCCTCATCCTTGGGCCGCCCGAGCCCTGTCCAAGGGAAAGGAACCAGGAGTTAGGACTGGACACTCGGGGTAAGGTTGCTTGGGGCCCCCCAAAGAAAGTTTTGACACTACCCCCGCCTCATCCAGTTTCCTAATTTTCCCTTCTTCCAGCCATTCAGTGAAAAAGGCTAAACTGGGTTCCATCGGTTAGATGATGAAGTGGTATATGGGGAGGGGGGGGGGGAATTTTTAACTGAAAAGAAAATTGCCAAAACCGAGTTGAGAAAGCTCAGGTAAGCAGAAAGTACCTCTGTTCATTAGTTCCAGGTACATCTGCAAGACACAAGATGCATTATTCGAAAATAGAAATATATGTTATTTAATTGGGTGCGGTGAGCCCCTCTTCAAGGCCTTGAGTGTGGAGCTCTCAGGCTGTACAGCTGTTAACTAGCAGCTGCGTTCCAGGCCAGAAGTAGCTGCACTACAGTCGTCTGGGAGCCTCCGTGGTGACCCCCGAGTGAGGATACAGGTATTAAGTGCCTTGGAATATTATTTCCCTAAACAGGAAAATGTGTAATACTTTCTTTTAAAAGGTTTAATTCTCAGGATGCTTCATAGTGTTTCTTCATTATAATAGCACCATAAAGATCAGTAGTGGTATACCATCTTGATTATAACCAACACCTTTTCTTCATAGCAACCAACATCTTTTCTTCATAGCAATGTCTTAATGTGTAATTAAACATGTATTTTTGTGATTATATAAACATGTTCCCCCTATAAGTTCTCTGAGAGCAGGGACCATGCCTATTCTGCTCATGGGTATATGGCCAGAGCTAGCACATGCTGGAACTGAGTAGCCACTCAAATATTTGTTGAATACATGAATGAAATCAGGGAAAGGGGAAGAATTAGGAGGGGAAGGTAATGCATCAGTGTCAGATGCATTGGGTTTGAGGTATCTGTGCTTCATTCCAGTGGAGATGATTTCAAAGCCAGTTCCCCATCTCACTGTTCGTTCGCTTGACCTACTCAATCCACACATTCAAAAACAGGGAGCCCTCTGGCTCCTCCCAATTAATAGGACATCATTTATACCTACTTTGTTTTGCCTGGGGTGGGGTGGATGTGCACAGTAATGATGTGGTTGAAGTGGCCTTTACTGTGGCAATATATGACACCCTCCTCTCCCCTCTCAAGCACATACTTCTCCACGATTTTAAATATGACTCGCTTTTCCCCGATCCCTGGAATAACTGTCCCATTTATCTCAGCCTAAAAATAGACCAGGATCCGATCACAAGCCAGCCCAATTCTAGGACTTTGCTGGATACTTCCTTAACTGTTCAGTGACCAGCCAGGACAGAAATGTAGGGACCTCTCAGTCTGTTTATATCCTACTGCTAGTCTGGGCAGCTTTTTGTAAGGAGAGTGCAGAAAACCTCTCTTATTCATGTAATTAGAGTTGCCAGATAAAATGCAGGATGCCCAGTTCTGTATGAATTTCAGATAAACAATGAATATTTTTTTAGCATAAATATGTCCCATGTAGTATTTGAGATATACTGAAATTATTATTCATTGTTTATCTGAAATTCAAATTTAATTGGGCATCATGTATTTTTGTTTGCTAAATCTGGCAACCCTAGCTATAATATAACCCAACTTCAGAAGATCAAGCCCCACCATAGCTGTTTACTTTTATTATGAATTTGACATAGTCCCTTGTGTCATTTATTGCAAACTAATAATGTTGTACATAACGATATAACACAAACATTTAATTAACTTCAATGACCATATGAGCTTGGCCTTTTTTTTTTTTTTTTTTTTTTCCTTGCGTTATGCGGGCCTCTCACTGTTGTGGCCTCTCCCATTTGCGGAGCACAGGCTCCGGACGCGCAGGCTCAGCGGCCATGGCTCACGGGCCCAGCCGCTCCGCGGCACGTGGGATCTTCCCGAAACGGGGCACGAACCCGCGTCTCCTGCATCGGCAGGCGGACTCTCAAGCACTGCGCCACCAGGGAAGCCCAGCTTGGCCTTTTTGATATAGGCATTTATTGTAAAAAAAAAAAAATCCAGTGTACTTAGCTTAAAAATAGCAAATGAAATTGGACTCCTGAGTAATCTCTCTAGTACATAGACTATGTGGAGGAAGAGGGAGAAAAAGTAAAAAATTCATATTTTTCTTACCTAGGCCAAGAAACTTCTGTATATTAACATTCACATTCAGAAAGCCTAGAAACACTGTTTTGAAAATTCATTCTCGAAAAGCCAAGATATGGAAATTACTGAACATGGGAAGTCTTGCTTAATTGCTCCACCATGAGTTGAATACTGATTAAACATAGAATTGCCAGAAATTCATTTACTCTTTGACTTCTATTTTGCTTGGCCCTGATGTCACTAAAGAAAAAGTAAAGAATCTTTAAAAGCACTAGATGCTAAGGAAGTGTTCAAACATTAGAAATTGTTTGTTTAAAAAAATAACCTAAGAAAATGCTAAGCCCTTTCTCACACATTTACTAAATTTTAGCACATTAAGGGCTATGTATGGATACCAGCATCTCAGAAATTTTTCACTTCAAAATATTTTCAACTTTAAAATAAAATAAACTGCTACTCATAGATAAGAGATATTAATTTAGACAATGATCAATGCATCAAATATATGTATAATTTAACTGTAATGTCATTTTAAAGGATAAGTTATTGGTCATTTCAAACAGACAACAGTCAATTTTAATTTGGGGAAAAAAAAAGAAATGTCTATTTAAATGCAAATTCCTCCAACAAGATCTGTAGGACATACATCCATTCTTTTTAAATGATCATTTAAGGGCTTTCCTGGTGGCGCAGTGGTTAAGAATCCGCCTGCCAATGCAGGGAACACGGGTTTGAGCCCTGGTCCGAGAAGATCCCATATGCCGTGGAGCAACTAAGCCTGTGCACCACAACTACTGAGCCTGCACTCTAGAACCCGCGAGCCACAAGTACTGAGCCCGCATGCTGCAACTACTGAAGTCCGCGCACCTGGAACCGGTGCTCCACAACAAGAGAAGCCACTGCAGTGAGAAGCCCGCGCACCGCAACGAAGAGTAGCCCCTACTTGCCGCAACTAGAGAAAGCCTGCACGCAGCAACGAAGACCCAACGCAGCCTAAAATAAATAAATTTTAAAAAATGATAATAATAATTTTATTAGATATAATTGATATACCATAAAATTCACGTTTTTAAATTTCACAATTCAGTGGCTTTTAGTATATTCACAGAGTGGTGAAACCATTACCACTACCTAATTTCAGAACATTTTCATTACCCCAAAGAGAAACCCCATTCACATTAGCAGTCACTCCCCATTCCTCCCTCCTCTTAGCTCCTGGCAACCACTAATCTATTTACTCTCTCTGGGTTTGCCTATTCTGGACATTACATATGGGTGGAATCATATAATATGTGGTCTTTGTGTCTGGCCTCATTCATTTAACAGTGTTTTCAAGGTTTATATTTGTTGTAGCATGTGTCAGTACTCTATTTGTTTCTTAGACCAAATTATATTCAGTTGTATGGACAATACCATGTTTTGTTTCTCCATTCTTCAGTTGATAGGCATTTGGGCTGGTTCCACTTTTTCGCCATTATGAATAATGCTGCTATTAACATTTGTGTACAAATTTTTGTGTGGACATGTTTTCATTTCTCTTGGGTATATATACCTAGTAGTGGAATTGCTGGGTTATATGGTAACTCTATGTTTAACTTTGTGAGGAACTTCCACACTGTTTTCCAAAGCAACTGACCATTTTACGTTTCCACCAGCAACGTAACATGGTTCCAGTTTTTTCATATCCTTGCCAATGCCTGTTATTGCCTATCTTTTTTTTTTTTAATTATAGCCATACAAGTGGGTGAAATGGTTTCCCGTTATGGTTTTGATTTACAATTCTGTGATGGCCCTTGATGAGCATATTTTCATGTGCTTATTGGCCAGTTGTATATCTTCTTTGGAGAAATGTCTATTCAGATCCTTTGCCCATTTAAAAATTATTTGTCCTTTTATTGCTGAGTTGTAAGAGTTCTTTACATACTTTAGACACAAGTCCCTTATCAGATTATAATCTTTATATATGGTTTCTCATATTGTGAGTTGTCTTTTCATTTTCTTGATTGTATCCTTTGAATCACAAAAGTTTTAAAATTTTGTTAAGCTCTAATTACATATTTTTTCTTTTGTTACTTGTACTTTTGGTGCCATATCTGAGAAACCCACCTAATCCAAAGTTACAAAAATTTACTCCTGTACTACTTCTAAGAGCTTTATAGTCTTAACTCTTACATTTAGGTCTATGATCGATTTTGAGTTAATTTTTGTATATAGT